CCGAAGCATACACTAGATAGTAAGCAGACGATGTTTGTCCTGATTTTGCATCCGTAATCATAGGCTGCATGAGAATATATTCTCATCGAAGGTAAATTTCGTTTGCCTCACGGAAAAATGCAGTGATTGAAGGCATTTGATCTAACTTAAAGTACGTGATAACTGCACAAATTTGCAGCTCACTCAGTAAAAACACGGAATGGTGAAGGACACAGAGCAAATTACAGTCTGAAAGCCGTCCAGGAGATCAATCTAGGTTTTTGATTGATTTAAGCAAAAACCAGACTTAAACGAAGAATAAAAGGGCGCCAACAAGATCAGCTGACCTGCATATTCACCTACGTTTCATTAAAGCCAAATGAAAGATCAATGTAGTTAACATCAGTTTAGTAGCACATTTGTTTCGCCTCCTTTCTTCAACTGCCTTACCGTTCAGGAAGCGTCTCGTCATATCTTCAGTTACATTTGTCATGTATGTAAATTTCCAAGTGGCGTCGTGTCGAGTCCAGCTTAAAAAATAATCACAGCAAAAAAACAGTGTCTGAGACGATTGTGTGCATAAAATGGGCAGTGCTTAGTCCCTGGACAGGTCTTAAAAAAATTTTCAAGATATGCAGTAACATTTGCTGATCAGGATGAACCCGGCAAATTGTAGAAAGCCTTCATTTCTGGATGATTCTAGGTAGCTTCACAAATCTCCTCTGATTTTGACAAAATGTGTGATTTGCTGCAAACAAATTAGCACCTCACGACAAGTTCGCCTCCCCCCTCTCTTAAAATAACAGCGCGACAAAATCGTCGATTTCGGGAGTAGAGCTAGCTCGGTGAATGTCAGCTCACTGAACAGTGATCGGTTAACCGTTTCGGGTAGGTGCGAACCCGAGTATGAGTCTTGTCAATAATTGACTGCTGATTAGACCTCACGATTTACTGTGGTCTTGTCAGTATATATAAACTTTTGCTCGACGTTTACCAATTTGATGTGATTATAGGAATTTGTTCAGGATGGAGAATACTGGCACTTTAGTTGAGCCATTTTGTCGATCTAGGCTCAATATTCTACGCTAGGTGCAAACGGAAACAAGAAGACCAGAGAGGACTAGGCGCTAGAGTTTACTAGACAGCATAAAGTAGTTGTGTTGTGAAGCCTGATACATTTGAGGGAAGTAGTAAAAATACGGGCGTCTGAATGGTCACATGGACAGAGTGGGTGGTGGTGAGAGTACAGTCAAAAGAGCAAGTGGAGACGCATTCCAAATTGACAGAAGAGCAGTGTTTAAGAGTACAAAATTGGCGAGGGATGGATAAGTGATTGGATAGCAGGATGTAATAAAGAACGACTACCAGGCACCGATGAAATGCTTGGCAAACGAATGCATGCGCGCACGTTCTAACGTCTGAAACGACCGCGACCAGCATTTCGCCAGAATCTACGACTGCGTACTGGCACGTCCACATACAATGAGTCATCGTCGAGGCATTCTTGCTGCGCCCGAATCAGGGCACTAGCCTGAGCTAGGTATTGTTGGTAGACGTATAGCGGTATTTTGTTGCACGTCTGCACTGTTCGGCCAGGTGTGAATGTGGCTCGAACTTGTGCTTCATGGCCAACGAAATCTACAATGTGCGCAGAAATGCATTTATCCTCT